TAAACTGTGGGGAGACAGCCCAAAATCCATGGATGGCCACTAGGGGTATAACACGTATCTAATCCAGTCATCTAGGTGACTTAGGGGAGTACATGGTTTACGTCACCGGATGTGGAAGAAGCTGCCATGATTGTGGATACCCACGGTGGAACTGAGACAGACGTGTGCTAAACCTCTATGGCAGATGGCTTCTCAGAATAAGGCATGTTGTAACTCTGTAAGATGATCAAAGTCAGTGGACATCTATTTGTCCTTCAGGCAAAATGGATACTTGTCTCAGAGGGTAATTTCATTCTGATACGTTCTGAGCAGAATACCTGGGGAAGATTTGGGTGTCTGTATGACAAAATGACTGAAGGTGGTGGTTGAAAGTCCAGGAGGACTCTTGTGATGGTCAGAAACTGGAGGGACTAAAGATGAGTCAAGACCAGGACACAGAAAGGGACGGGGCCAAAGTCCATCTGAGAGACCAGACAGAGAAAAAAACTGCAGCAATCAGCTGAACATGGAATTCAGAGAATGAGAAAGTAGAACAGATTCAGAGAAGGTTCTAATGAGACCTGGGCAGAAATGATTTTATACAAATAAATGTTAAAAATCAGAAAAGTCTCTCATTTAATAGTCTCTCATTTTTTCTTACCTAAACTGAAAATAATCCATTTAAGTAGAGCAATTAGTTTTATTTGATGGCTATGATGCGTCATTTCAACAATGATCTATCTTATTTTTAAACAGTAAAACTGAATAAAAGATGGTGCTGTTTGCAGTGATTTTCATGAGCTACTCCTACTGGAAGGAAGCCAAGCTCCTCAGACCCCAGCCCATACCCAAGTTCCTACACCTTCCTGGCAGCAGCTTGCCCTCATTAAATATCATTAGGCAATGTATGGAGTGTTAGCCCTGCAAACTCAGCCTTGTAAAATGGAATGAGCATGACAGAGAAAGAAACTCTCCATCTGTGATGCAAAAATAGCACAGACAAGTCTCTGGGCTCAGGTAGGTCTCATGCTTCATGGAAGGTAACATAAAAAATTATAAGACCTCTTGGTCATGGATTTTATGACACAGGCAATAGCAAAGACCATGTGTAATTGGAGTGGCTGCAATAAGGGAACTGAACTTAGCAGCAGTAAAAACAACAAAGAATAAATGAAAAATTCCTGTTAGCCTGTCTTTGCCTGTTGGTGTTAACTATACACAGAGAGATGATTAGCATGCCTCTAAAATGTTTTGTCTACTGGAAATCTATGCAATAACGTATGTATATATATTATATATTTGTATATTATGTATACAAATAAATACATTTCTATATGTGTGTGGGGGTGCTGTGTGCACAGAGTCTTTCTGACATAACATACAAGCAACAAAGCTGATCAGTGTTAACACTGTTTATCTCTGGGGTGTGGGACTCAGGCCACTACACGAGCACAGAGGAACATCTTGACCTTGCCTGTGATTCTCATCTGTGCTATTAGAACTTTTTTTTTTTTAATAAAAAGCATGTTCTATCTTTATGATAAAAAAATCTAAATATGTGAAATAAAATTGACATGTAAAAAATTAAAACTGCTGCCCCACATATTATAAAACATGGATATTATGAGAAGTCTAGGAAATACATTTCAGAAATCCTTTAGGCAAAGAAATGGTTACAAGGTCCAAATGCAAACTGCCTGTTGAGTATCTCCCAGTGCAAACACATCTGCCTAATTGCTAAGGCCAGCTACTATGATGGGCTAGGGGGGGCTGTCACTAATGTCATGGCTGTGTACTTGCCAGCTAAATTCTCTTCTTCAGAAATTGCATGGGTTTTAGGTTATAGCCTCCATAGAGGTAACCAGAACTCTCAAAGTGAGATTTGCGGCCATGGTATTTACTTCCTTCTTGGCTTCTGGTTTTTTTAAACAGTCCTCGAATGTGATAAAGCACAGCCCCAACTAGGTGAAGCTGGGTTCTAAACTGGGTTCTATTTCATTAAATGTGTACTCCTGGAATATAGGGCTCTGAAAATGACTACCTTTAAGGTTCTCTCATGTGGTCTTGTAATAACTCTCCATTTTTCATACCCCTCCCTGTCAACCGAACCCACAAATGGAATCCCAGAGCAGAGAGCACCAGCCCATGAGGGGCTCTTCTGAGCCAAACATGGAGGATTGGCAGCTAAGCCAGCCATGCTCCAGTACTGTCCCGGGAGGTTTTGGAGAAAATGGTATTTCTGTGACTATACAGTTTCATGTCTTTTAAATTAAACGTTTGTGGGTTTAAAGATCCAGACCAGGGCCAGACCATTGGCTTCTACCCTTTCTGATGGCCCATTAAAGGGGAGACTCTATGCTTGAGCTGAGCTGGAAACTCTTAGAGCATATGGCCTCAGCTCTTTCTGAAGGCCAGGACTGTCCCACACAGTGATCAATTTTAAAAAATGCTACAGGAGGTAGGTTTAATATTGAATCCATTAAATATGTAACCGTTCCGTTCATTTTTGATGTCCTTTCCTCGGAAACCCCAAGTCCTGAGGGTGTTTGCTTTTTCAAAGAGATATTTGCTTGGTTGTTCATGGTTTCCCATCCATAATGTAGAACTTTTTTTTTTTTTTTTTTTGGCTTGGAATGATCTCCAAATGTACCAGAACCCCTACAGTAGTCATTACCTTATCTATTTTCATACCAGGAATTTACTTGTGACTTCAGTTGGACCTATTTAAATTGGCCTGTAGCCATCTATACCCTAAGTTTTCTCTGGGCTGCTCTGAAGCATCACAAAGAAATATGAGATGGTAGTTGGTGAAAATAGTCCTTTATCCCAGAAATGGCAGCTGGGTAACTGACTGTGTGGCCAACTGTTTGGCTTAATCTAGGGAATGGAAGGCACCATTCAAAGCTAGATTCCAGTCTGTTTTAAGGATTATATTTCTGTCATCACAATATCTCTTTGACAGTCCCACCAACTGAAAGACTCCCAGATGAAGCCCAGTGATTAAATTCTCCTGGAGCCTATTTTTTCCAGTTTCTGGAAACAATCTACTGCCATCCTCCTTACCTCCCCATAAAACCCAACAGATAATTCCATTTCTAAGACTGATAGATGGAAATAAATTACTCATAACCAACCTATTCTCCCCCCGCTGGAAATAACACCAGTAATTTGATTTTGAAAAGGCTAGGGAGGTGCTTCCTCTCCACCCACAGAGAAGCTATTCCTCCTTAATACAGTACTCATATCTGTCCTCTCAAAATGATAGGTGACCAAAATGCAATTCAGGTAAGCAGTGTGTCACCACTGGACCTTTAAAGTAAATGCAGAAATACGATCATTTATGTGTTCACATGCAGAGACACCAGGGAAGCACTTTGCTTGTGTCTAAGAGCAAAATGGAAGAAAGCTCAGAAGACCTCAGCTTTAGTCGGAAACAACTTTGGATCACCCACTTGTGTTTCTGACTCCTATCCACGTCAAGTAGACCTCTTCACTGAAAGTTAGGAGCCTTTTCCTCCTGCTCTTTTAGTTATCACAGAGTCCCTACTAGAGGGACCTGTAAGTACCAACTGATCCGTGGCAGGATTCGAAGTTGTAATTCCAACGCCAGAGACACATTTCTGGCTCAGCTCCCACAGTGGTTTTGTACTAAGAATTTCCTGGTAGGGGGAAACGGAGAAAAGATTAGACAACCCCGTACGTAAGAAGTGGGGTTACAGTGCTGTCAGGTACAATCTTGGGACCTGACAAGTAAAAGGTGAGGTGTCCATCGGGAAGATCCAGCCGTCCTGGAAATCCAGCAGTGGAACTCATAAAACAAGGCTTTGTCCTTGGGACAAGGCTTACTCGGGGTAATGAAAACCAAACACTTAGAAGGAAAACCTAAAATGGGCCCCCTCTCACCACTACACCCAAGAGTCTCTACTTATTAGCCTCTGTGCAACATGCCCGCCAACTGTTTTCTTGCTTGAGTTATTTTGACATATGTTGCTACTTTTGCATTGGCTGTTTTATTTCAAGTCAGTTAGCCTGCTTTCTATTATCACTTGAGAAAGTCTGGAAGGGAACGCAGTCACAGTGCTCCATTTCCTGGAACCACAGTCCCCACACGTGGTTTTCTGCTCAGCACCTTCAACTGCACTTAAAATCCAGCGGTTCCACCAAACCAGCCGTGGGCCTTCGTTTAATCCTGTGTTGGTCTCTTATCGTCTACATCGCAGCAAAAGGCAAAGATGGCTACACGTAGGCAGTATGGGGCTGTGCAAACAGCCCAAGCTGAACCAGTCCTTCATGGCTATCAGCAACAGCCCCGCCCCCAGGGCCGGGCCCTGGGTCCCCTCCCATGCCACCTCACCATACCTTAGAGGTACAGCACACAAGTTGACATTATCCATGTGGCACGTCCCAGCTCCTACAGAATGATAAGGGATGAGAGAGGAGGGCAGGGGAGACATGCAAATGGTCACTAACAGTGTCGGTATATTTCATCTTGGAAACAGAAGCGGCTTTACAGTTGTGTTTCTGCAGGACATCCAGAGGGTTTTCAGAGACCTCCAGCGTGTCTTGTGGTCTTCAAAGACTGAATGTAGAGAGAGCAAATTGTATTTACTTATTTTTTTCTTTTGAATGATGGGTAGTTGCAGTAGAATTGTGTGGTGCAGAGGAATCGTGAATGCATAGGGGGAGGAGGGAGCAGTGCCATTTGTACGAACATCCTTTGAATCTCGAAAATAAATTATACAGGTGAACACAGAAGTTCATGCTACTTGCTGGAAGCAATAAGGATCAAATTTTGTGGAATGTGTATTCCACAAATCTCCGGGTACCCTGTCTCTTCCTCAGCGGGCTATCATGTTCTGTTGGACATCCTGGTAGCCCTTAATAACTGGTGGCATGGTCTCAGATTCTTGCAGAGAGAGACAGATTTGTGGATTCCATCAGCTTCTTCCAGGGGAGCTGCCCGATCGCCGGGAGGGCACAGGTGATACACTTGCTCAGGTTCTCTTTGCAATCTACCAGGGTCAAACAGCAGTTTCCAGGTCCTCATGGCCAATGATCTTATAGTTCTGGCGGCTTTCTAGGTACGCAGCCAAATCTGGGTCTCCAGCCTGCTGTGCTCTGTCTTGAGGTGTCTTCCCCTAAAGGTGACAGTGGGAAGGAAGGAGACACAAATATGTGGAATGAGATTTATTTTTTTTAAATCACGGAGGTATTCAAAGATTACTCACGAAAGGATTTTTCCATGCTTATGGTTTTAGAGTAGACAAGACACTTTCAAATCTATTGTCACATTAAACCCATGAGGTAGGTAAGTTCGAGAGAAAGACACGATCGCTTCACAGGTGGGGCTGAGAAAAGGGGGTTCAGAGTAACAGCTGAGGAAAAGGGGGTTCAGAGTAACAGCAGGAAAGAGTGTGGCACAGTGAGTTTGGGAACCCCAATTCTTTCTGGGAGAAGGGGGACAGAGATCACTGAAGAGAAAAGTAGGAAGTAGGCTTTCGGATGCCCGATGGCAGACTCTTCCTAGTACACTAAACACCAAACTCTGGGAAGCAGCAAGCAGAAAATGAGAGGACCAGATGGTTGTAAATGATCTAAAGATGTTTCTTTGCTGGTTTCAAAGTCTTCAGTTAAGATCTCCCAATTCAGAACTATCTCATCTCTCCAAAAAGTGAGTTAATTTCTGACTACAAAAGTGATGGATGTTGATTAAACTTGGAAAAGCACAAAAGTGTAAGGAAGAAAATAAAAATCACCAATAATTCCTATACTACACTAAGATAACTGCTGTTAACCTTCCACAGGGTAGCTATTTTGTCTTTTTCTATGGCTCTACACATAACAATTTTTGTAAATAGAAAACCATACTATGGGGCACCTGGGTGGCTCAGTCGGTTAAATGTCTGACTTCTGATTTCAGCTCAGGTCATGATCTCAGGGTCATGAGATCGAGTCCCGTGTTGGGCTCCATGATGAGTGTGGAGTCTGCTTAAGATTCTCTTTCCTTCTCCCTCTGCCCCTCCCCCTGTTTGCATTCTCTCTCTCTCAAAAAAAAAAAAAAGTCTAAAAAAAAAACCCATACTCTGTTTACATACTATTATATAACACACTTTTTCACTTAACATATCAAAACTTTATGTCATTCAATGTTCTTCTACATCATCTTAAAGGATTGTATCATTTCTTGCAGCCTACTATAATGCCGTATGCATGTTTATACACACACATGATAATTTTGGAATAAGGTCAACGAATAGAATTCAGTAGTAGAAGGAAGGAAGGTCTCCATTCTTTTGAATGCATATAGATATTACATAACGCTCCTTGAAACTTCTAATTTTTGTTGAGTGATAATGGCTTTATCTATTTAAAAAGTAATATAAGGGGCGCCTGGGTGGCTCAGTCGATTAAGCGGCTGTCTTCGGCTCAGGTCATGATCCCAGGGTCCTGGGATCAAGCTCCACATCGAGCCCCACATCGGGCTCCTTGCTCGGTGGGGAGCCTGCTTCTCCCGCTCCCACTCCCCCTGCTTGTGTTCCCTCTCTTGCTGTGTCTCTCTCTGTCAAATAAATAAATAAAATCTTTAAAAAATAAAAAAATAAAAAGTGATATTAAATTCAAAAAGATGGAGGCATGAACATTGTACCAAAGAAATAGCTCCATGTATAAATGTACGCGAGTATTACGAAAATTGCTGAAGGCTTCTCAGCCTGCATCTGAGTCACTGCAATGGAGAGTGTCAAGCTCAATTAAGCCTGTAGCTTCTGCTTCTCCCTCTGACCCTCTTCCCTCTTGTGCTCTCTGTCTCTCATTCGCTCTCTCTCAAATAAATAAAATCTTTAAAAAAAAAAAAAAAAGCCTGTAGCTTACAAGGGTATGTGGGTAGAGAATAAAAGGAAAGTAACAGTGGCTCTGAATTCTTTCTAAAATTTTACTTATTTAGCTGGGATTTAATATTGAACCACTAGCTTAAAGTTATTATAGTAAGTTTTTCCAACTTGTTTATAGTATTAGATTATCTGATCTTCAATATTAATGAGGTTGGAATTACTAGCTTCCAAGTATTCAGAGAGGTGGATTGGAGTGGCCTTTGAGTTGATTTTTAAAGGAACTGTTCTTCATCAAGAGAAATTCTCAAGATATTGCTTCTCCCCCCACCCCCCAAAAAAAATCTAGGAATAGATCCAGTCATAATTATCATGTTCTGCTTTAACTTAGCATAAAATTACAAAATGGAAAAATTAACAGGTCTCCCAAAAGGATGAAGCATAGACTATTTCATACAGTAAGACCTCTAGAACACAATGTTGGGGGAACATAAGCATTCTATAATAGCATGAATAGTATGACTTCACCGACTTAAAAAAAAAAAAAATGAGAGAGAAAAACAGGCATATCTACATGTGAAGAGAGATCGTTAAAATTTTAATAGTATATAGGTCTAGAGTGTGAGATTTCTAGTGATTTTTATCTTTTTAGATATTCTTTGCATTGCTTGAGTTTTCTATATAAGAATGCACTGTATTTATAATCATAAAATTAATGAAGCTGTGTTTTGAAAAAAAAGCACACACACACATAACACAAAAGAGGAAGCAATCTGAAGGCATGTTGAGCCCATTTATCTGATTCAGAAACTTAGAAAAAAGAGCATTCTGCTCAGGGGCCAGGTCTCCTGCCCAGTCTTTTGTTTGTCTCTTTCACATTGCTCCTCCTTTTCTTTTGATTTCCTGAGGTGAGTGTGAGAGCAGTCTTTTGGGTAGTCAATAGGCAATTGCCACGCTGGAGTGTGAGTTGGCCCCAGGCAAGCCAAACCTACCTGAAATCGAGGCCTCCCCTCATCCTGCTTATAGGGTTTGTGTTCCTCCATCGGGTTACATGACAAAGAGTTTAAGCGCAAATATCATCTGGGAAGAATATCACACGGAGCACTTCTCTGCCACTTGAAATCCTACACCCACTTAGCTAACCAGGTAACAGACCAGCCTAACAAGTCCCACAGCCCTAGGGAGGAACCCAGGTGGCCGGGTCCTCCGTCAGAGAGCAGGGATCCGACGGGCTGCAGGGGTATGGAGAATCATGCAACCGGCTCAGAACTGGGGTCGAAGGAAAGAGGTCCACGCAGGAGATAGAGTTATTTTATGGCGCTCACTGCAGTTTGAGGAACCCCAGGGTGAAATCTGCACATAAGCAGTTGCTCGTCCCTTAAAGAAGTCTCATGGGGAATATGTCTGTGTTCCTTGGCTACATTCATCGGCCCCAAACTTAGGCTATTCAGTGCCTTAGCTTAATGAAACCCTCATCTCTATATTAAAATTCTTCTCTGCAACCCTCCACAGTTAAACAGTTTGTCCTTTCTTAGCATCTATCCAGGGTGGTTTCTCAGAGCTGCTCAGGCTCCCCTGTGGCACTGAGGTTCTGTATTAACAGTCCCGCCCCCCTCCCCCACCCGCCCTTCCCTTCTCCTGGGCTGCAGTCCCCGGCTGCACCACTGAGCTCCACCTCTTCCCTTGCTCCAGCTTTCAGCCCTTTCCTCGGTGCTCTCTGTAAATGAACAATTCACAGTGCAGCCTGATCTCAGGTCTCCTGAACAGAGTTTCTCCTGATGCCTGACCTCTACCTGTTGGCGTCTTTCCGGTCAAGGTCGGCACGTAGGTCGCGCTATCAGTTTCTGGCCTCACCGCCCTCTCCTTAAGACATTAACATACTTTAAAGCCAGATTGACATGCCTTTTGCTGCAGGGGAACCAACCACATTTCAAGTCACAATGCCGTAAGTACCACTGTAAGGCAAAGGCATGATCCAAACCATTCGAGAAAAACCCACTTCATGACGTTGTTGCCACACTTCATCCCGTTGGATCCAGGGGGGTGTTCTGTCACCACAGGAGAACAACTCATCTGCTGCGCTGGGTGTCAAAAGAGCTGAATTTGGATTTGGGCTCAGCTCCTGGTCTAAGGGTACAGAGCTTTCTTTGGGTTTCAGTTTCCACGTCAATGAGAGAAATTCCCACCCTAACTTCAGGGGTTAACTTTCAGGAAAAAATATAAGAAAATAAGTAGGAAGAAACTTCTACAAATAAAAAGCCAACGTATGGGCACCAGATTTAAGGCTGTTAACCTCTCCAAGTCCAGGCTGACCATCCTGACAGTGACGGCTAATCACCCGGGCACCCGTAAACCACAGATCGGAAGCTACCCCAGATAAAGCCACTGAAGGAGAAATTCCAAAGCAGGCCAATGTCTTCTACGCCTCTCCTAGGGCTCTGAACCTCACCTCCCCACAACTTGGCTGCTGGCATTCGGCAGGACAACCCCAAAGTCCCAAGGCCAGCACATTCAGAGGTTTATAAAGTCCCATAGGCAAGCACACACCCTTCCCTTTGTGCTTATACATTTAAACTACAGTTGCTCTAAATGAAGCACTTTATTTTTTCCTCCTTTTTCCCCAAAGCCCCAGGCACTTCCATAAGCACAGAAAGGATGCCTTTGCTATGGGCACAAGTGAAGGCAACGGTGCCGGTGATCCTGCCCAGGGGGAGGATGTTTGCACTCACTCATCAAGTTACCTTGGAGTCCGTCTTTCTCAGAGATGCCCCCGCATCCACCAGAAGCTGGCACACGGCCCGGTTCCGCTGGCAGGCAGCCTTGTGCAGGGCGGTCTCACCCCTAAAGCAAAGAGGAAATGGGAAACCACCCATAAAGGGGTTGGGGGGGGCGGGAGTGGGGGTGGGGCTGGAGGCTGCAGGGAGGGGGTGAGGGTAGCTTCCTATCCCTGCTGCTGAGGTTCTGGGCTCATCTGCCTCCTTCGCGATCTGCAGCTGAGATCCGGGCACATTCTGGGGGCTGCGGATGAGGGGGTGTCTAAAAATGCCTTCAGTTAGTCATCAGCGAACCAGAACTCCAATCGCTTGTCTCAACAGTGTTAACTAGGCTGAGTGATTTTGTTTTCAACCACCGACGTTGGATTTAGGTAACACTTCATGGCACTGTTGAACAAACTGATGTGTAGAGAGATGGGTCTGAGCACGGTGGAACGATTTTCTCTGTGGACACATGTGGGCAGAACATAGGGGCACCGGATCAAGTACACACGGGGCAGGCATGGAAAAACCACAGGCCCCTCAGGCACCTCACACGGTTCTTGGCTGACCACCATCTGGCCCTCGGTGGAGTATCTCTGGGGGACTTGGCGTGGAAGGACCAGGTCAACACAAGCCGCCCTACCTGCTGATTTCATGCAAATGGCAGGTGGGAGGGTGCGGGCAGCCACAGAGGACATCTGGGAGAGCTGGGAACACAAACTGTCCCCTGTTGGCCATAGGCCACTCAGTATAGAAGAAGGCAAAGCAAAGTAGCCATTCCTACCCCCTCTAATGGGCAGGCAGTCTAGGGAGGAGGAGGTCTCCATTCTGTGTCCAAAATTGAAAAGATGCTTAATGCCAAAGCGGATGGAAAATCAAATGCAGTTCTAAGAACAAACGGGTTAGTGACAACTTTGCCAATAGGATGTGGTATGTGGACAAACTCTCTGTCATGACAGTGTCTTCCCTGTCTAGTAAGTCATAACTATAGAACTCTACCCTTCCCACTCAGCTTCCATTCTATTCATTTCTACTTTTCCTCCTCCAGACCTACTTAGCTACTCCCCATCCATCTTTATCTCTTTTCAAACGTCTTTGAAGTTTTATAGTGCTTCCTATATGGCTTTCAGGGTGAGATGGTTAGCCTTTCTTTGTTCCTACTTGGGGAGTAGGAGCTATTTTGCTGCCCTAGGAATAAAAATGTTGAAAACAAACATTATCAGTTTGGGGACCACCCCAGAGAAGAAGACTTTCTCAACTGGAGTTTCTCTTATGAACCACAGAACATAAAATGATTGGATTTACTATATTCTTAATTCTCCAATGGTTGTATATACCCAGTTCCATTCCAGACCCGGTATAGAGGTTTCATTACAAAGGACGCCGTAGGGTATTAGGACTTAATTTTCTCACAAACCCCAGTTGAGAAAGAGTAAATAAAAAGGGTAAATGTATTTATTTAGACTTCTCAGTAGTCCAAGATGCATCAGTGCAAAACTACCTTACCTCTAGGAAGCTCTAAATGATGAATAGCAATGACTGTGCATGCAATCATTATGACTCTTGTCATCAATTTTTATTGGGTAATTTTTGATTTAGAAGATTAGCCCGGCACAGTTATAAATACAATTGAAAGTGAACTTCTTATCACTGACATTTAAATTACCTGTTGTATGCTCTATAGGCTACGTTCTTCTCCGATATGTTCTAAAGAAAATAATCTAGACTATGTAATGAAAGGAAACACTCACGTTTCGCTGTCTGCCATATCCAATAACTCGGGAGGTCCTAAATAAGAGGAAAACAAGATGCCATCAAAAGTAAGTTCAGAAACTAAAACATTAACAAAAAAATCTATAGTCACAGAATTAAAACACGTTGGAAAGCTGAATAAAGTAGAGTCATTTGGTGAAAGTCATTTGGTGAAAGACCACCTCCCCTGCTCCGCCCCCCCAAAAAGAAAGGATTTCTCTATTCCCACTCACCAACCGCCCAACTGCCACCAACCAATATGTGTGGAATGATACAGCCTATGCTTTTAAAGCAGCTTTCATTCAGGTTGAAGAAATAAAATTAGTCATAATAGAATAAGTGAGAAATAACGAAGTTATTTGGGGAATGGGGACACTTCAGTGGGCTTTAAGGATTGTTTATCATTCCCCAGAGGCAGGTTGTTTAAGATGGGGTTTTATACAGTATAATTTTAAAGCTACAAGATACCAGAGATATCATCCAGTCCAATATCTATATTTTAGAAACAGAGTAAAATTATATTTTTCATAAAATTTCCCTTCCAAGACCTGAAAGAAATGTTATGCATAAACACCAAATGATTATAGATGCTTCCTTAGGAACTGAGATGTCTGATGAGTTTGTGCACTGATGATATTCTATTTGTTCACCAATTAAATCATTCAATCTGCAAACAATGCTTGGAATGACCACCTTTCCACCTTCTGCACCACTGATTCCTCCCCCAACCCTCCCGTACTCTAATCAGTCTGCACGTATCAGCTGAGACACATTTTCCACAAAGCCCTGTACAACCCCCACTCCAAATACTGCATTAAGTGTCCTGCCTATGTGCCCCGTCATTTTGTACACTAACCGTATGTCCTGTGGTTGGGAGGGTAACATAATTTATCATCCAAATTGAGACTGTCCCAGACAGGTGGGGATATGTAATTACTTTAGTGATCAGGACATTTAAACCATAATAAAACCACCTGCGGATTTGTCTCTCTCCATAACTAGACTGTGGTAAACCCCCTTGAAGCTGTGGCCTATGCCTTGTTCACCACTACATCCTTCCTTGGTGCCTGGCATAGAGCCTGGTACCAAGCAGATGCTTACATGTTTGGTTGAATTAATGAATAAATGTGCTTGGACATGCCAAACACAGTTCTAGGTATTGAGCATTTTAGTCTTTAGAAATATGATCCTGTTGATTTGCTCTCTGTCTTGTTGGATATCATTATAATTGAAAATTTGCCTTTTATGATTTCTTATTACATAGAAAGAAGAAAGGGGAGAGATTAGGACTTCCCAACCATGAAAGTCACTGGCCAAGAAGATGACTAAGATGCCATGGTACCTTCACAATCCTCCTGGTCATCCAAGAGCTGCCTCCTCTTTCACATCTACTGGTCGTCTAGGCCAGCTGAATCTTCCCTTGCACCCTCTGCCCTATTCGTCTCTCCTCTTTGTCCTATTTGACAAATAGGCTTCCTAATTGGTCTCTGCCTAGAGCATAATTAGCATTCAGAAACAGGTACTAAGAAAAATGAAAAGGTCTCTCATCGTTCAGATTTCCAATTCAGCATATTGACTGCTTACTCCCAAGCATTCAACCATGAAAGTTTGCAGTCTTTCACCTGGAATTGCCCTTCCTCAATTTGTTCCAGGTTCCATTTCTTCATATCAGCTGTGCCATCACCCACCATCACCCACCTCTCTCTGGGGCTCTCCCAGCTCAGAGAGCTTCTTCCCTCCACTCCCCCAATCCAGAACAGCCTTCCCTTTTCTAGCTGCATACCTAAATCTGACCTGTCCTGTAAAGCCCAGTCTGTGACAAGGTCTTCTGAAACGACCAGCTTTGACAGACAGAATCTATCCCTTCTCTGAACTCCTTCTCTCGTAACACTTACTTGGTTCCACCCTTGTACTATGTATTTGCTTTTAACTCATATGCCTTGTCTCCCTAAATGAATTATACTAAATCCTTGCCGTGTAAGAATATTTATTATTTTTCATTTATTATTTTTCTAGCACCTATCCTACATTAAGGATTCAACAAAGACGTAATGCATTTATTTTTGTTCCTCAGTCTTGTGGTTCTAAGGAAACATGAATGATAATGCCCACAACAAACACCCAAAGAAGTGCAAGGCAGTATCATGTAGTGATGGGTACTAGAGCTGAACCTCCTTGCTTCAAAATTCTGGCTCTACCTGCCACTTACTGGATCTCGGGCCAGTTCATTTAATCTCTCGGTCTCTTGATTGCCACGTACATTAAAGAAGGATTGATAATATGTATCTCACAGGATTCTTGCGAGGTTTCATAAGTCAATATAAGTTATATGCTTAAAATGGAAGCTGGCATGCTACATGCAAGATTGGAAGTGTCCTATTCTCTGACTTAAGCAGGTTACGCTAAGTCGAGATGTGGAGCATCAGTGGAGGGAGGAAATATACTGGGCTCTGCATTTATCTCCATTCACTTTTGAAGCCACTTGTTGACTCGAATTCTATGTCCTGAGAACCAATACTCCAAACCCCTTCAACTGTTGGCAGGGCATTCTCTACAAGGTCAAGAACAAGGACGCTTACAGTGTCCAGTGGTCCCCAAAGAGAGTGCCTGCCACCTTCAGCCAACCCTTGGAGCCATTCATTTGCACAGGAATTCCATGAATAGGAGCAACCCAGCCCCATTCCACTCCACTCCAGCAGCTCTGTTCCCACCATTCACTGCTAAGTGCATGCTTATCTGGGCACCAGAGGCCTCACCCCCTTCCCCCTTCATTCAGGACTCAGAGCTGCACCCACGGTGGGTCCACCAACTCCAGGGTCCATGCCATCATGTAAGTGAGAGGCTGTGGGACCAGCTACATCGGTGCCAAAACCGCCATTGTTTGACACTCTGAACATGGGGACAAGGAAGAGAAGGGACCTTGTTCCTCAAGTGTCTTACAAGAATCGCCATAAATGCAGCCAACCCAGAACAATGACAGAGCTGATTATCCAATTTATGAGTCAGGCATGCCTGTAGCTGCTTATCACCTTCCCCTTCTCTCCTTTTAATCCTCGGCAGCTGACAGAGGTGAGCGGAAGAGGTGCTGCTCCTAAAATGAGCCATTCTTGCTCTTAATTAAAACCTAACAAAACCCCAATTACAGGTTTCAGGAATGGAATGGGCTCTGGAATGATGGACTTAATTAACCCAAACTTTCCTCATCTGCCCATCAACACATATAATCATCAAAGAGCAGAACGTTTTGAACACTGTCAGGCAAATCGCCAATGAAGAGGCAAGGGCGGCAGCGAACCGATGATAGGCGGGAGTGTGGAGCTATTTTTAATAGTACAGGTACATTTTCTAGTAATGTTTTAACCTGCTTTAAAATAACTGTGTTTGCGTAATGCTGGCGAGAGGGGGTTGGAGAGGAGGAAATAAGAAGAGGCCTGAGTGCCAGGTGCAGCCCAAGAACAGGGTGGAGGTTCCCTCCCTTCCAATGATCTGCTGGGAGCTCCTTCAATAGTATATTGTGCTGTTTAGCAGTGCTCCGTGTGGGTTAGTAGCATTGATTATCCAATCTTACAATTTGGAGAACGGGGGCATGGCTAGAGAGACAAAAAAATAATCCTCCCAGACCTCACAAATTCTCTTTAAAGGAAAAAGTATTTTAAAAAAAATAGCATCTATGATTTTTGGAAAGTTAATTTGAGTCTCACTGTTAAGGGAGAGCCCAAGAGAAAGAAACGACGATGGAATTCTTCCAGTTTATATCCATGGTGAATGTCTGGATCTAAGGCTTATTGCATATTTTAGGTATGCATATGGTCTGATTGTGGATATCATGCCATCTCCCTTAGGGAACTGGAATGCCATGACTTTGTTAGCAGTGAACTCACATTTATTCCCTGAATATAAAAGGACGTCTTGGTTCTCTGTCCCTCCTAGGGTTTATTACCATGTCCACACTCAGTCCCACAGTTGACCTACACCACAAAGCAACTGTTAAGTCCTGATTGAAGGGACACGTGTACAAATTTCTCCATGAAACTTTCGATCGATCACTGCCCCTCCACAGCTCTGCACCAGTTGTCACTGGAACCCTGCATATAATACTTCTATCGATCTACCCTGCATTGTGATTTTTTATCCGTGTGTCATTGCCCTCACCAGGTCTTAGAACTATGGAGGGCAGAGACCATATACTACATACAAGTCTTGGCAAGGAACCTAACATCACTATGCTTCAGCTGTCTCCACCTGTCAGATGGAGATAAGAGAGCTCACTATGTGGGATTGTTTTAAGAATTACATATGTTAATACATACAAAGCACTTAGAACCATAAACGTTAGCAGTGACTATCACTATAATATTTTTTCTCCAAAGTTCATGGGGGCAGAATTCATTTTTTTCTAATAAATGAATGAAGACCTTTAAAAATCAATGTGGATCCCAGCCAGCATCCTGTTTTTTTCAGAGAAAGATCCAAAAAGGTACATGGATTCAAAAGACTGTGCTACATAGGGAAATGGTCCTAAAAATAAGGGGGGAAATGTACTAAGAGGATACACACATCAGTATTCGGGCGAAAGCCAGGGAATGCGAGAGGAAGCCAAACCTCACAAAGCTGCCAACACGAGAAAGTGAACAGCATGGTTAGGCAGTCAGGCCTTCCGAAGGCAGCAAGTTTGCTGCCCGGTGCTCATTCCACTGGCTCTCCCACTGGACACCCCAGCTTTTGCTGGCGCAACCCCATCATCAGTACTGTCCTTGTATTCTATATGATGTGTCTTTTGTCACGTGCACCCTTTAGTTTGCTTCCCACGTCAAGGCATCCAAATCCCCTTTGCTATTGCTTCCACCTCTCCATGGCCTCTCTCTCCCCGGACCTCATTTTCCATTAGTCTCCCAGACGCTGCCAGCAGACCATTCCAAATCCTCCTCTGCCCCAGGACAAAAGCCGCACAGATGTGGGGAGAGCTGGCTCTGGGAACTCTAACAGCACCGTCATCCTGTCCCAGCGGGGTGGTGGTCGTTTCTCTTGGGGACCAG